AATCCCCAACCACAGCCAATCTAGGAGCCCCAGCTACCAGTCATCTCATTAGCACACAAAATACACTCTTTGGCTGAGTGGTAGCTCATGCCTGTAATCCTGTACTCTGGGAGGCTGAGGCGGGAAGATTGCTTGAGCACAGGAGTTTAAGACTAACCTGGGTAACATCGCGAGAACTCATCTCTACAAAACAAACAAAATAAAATCAGAAGTAGTAGTAGAAAAGAAAAAAAACCACCACCACCAAAAGAAACAAAAATAACCTAACCAGGTGTAGCAGAATGCACCTATGGTCCAAGGTACTCAGGAGGCTGAGGTAGAAGGACTGCCTGGACCCAGGAAATCAGGAAGTCAAGGCAATAATCAGCTGTGATTGCTCCATTGCACTCCAGGCTGGGTGACGGAGCAAGATCCTGTCTCAAAAAACACTCATCACTATGGAGATTCAAGAATTCTAGTAACAGGAAACCAGATGATGTAATATATATTTTGCAATAGCACAGAGACATAAAAGGAGACAGCTAGCTGGGCCTGGTGGCTGCCGCCTGTAATCTTAACACTTTGGGAGGCTGAGAGGTCAGCAGTTCAAGACCAGCCTGACCAACATGGTGAAACCCTGTCTCTACAAAAATTAGCCAGGCGTGAACCAATATTGCACCACTGCACTCCAGCCTGGGTGACAAAGCAAAATCATCTCAAGAAACAAAACAAAACAAAACCTTTTTGTGGGTAAAGTGAGATGTATGCACAAATCATTAAACTTACAAATATTTTAGAAGTCAAATAGTCTGGGACAGCCTTCTTCAAATCAGTACACAGAAACATCTCAAGGGTTTGTGATCAAGAATAATTTTCGGCCGGGCGCGGTGGCTCAAGCCTGTAATCCCAGCACTTTGGGAGGCCGAGGCGGGCGGATCACGAGGTCGAGAGATCTAGACCATCGTGGTCAACATGGTGAAACCCCGTCTCTACTAAAAATACAAAAAATTAGCTGGGCATGGTGGTGCGTACCTGTAATCCCAGCTACTCAGGAGGCTGAGGCAGGAGAATTGCCTGAACCCAGGAGGCGGAGGTTGCGGTGAGCTGAGATCGCGCCATTGCACTTCAGCCTGGGTAACAAGAGCAAAACTCCATCTCAAAAAAAAAAAAAAAAAAAAAAAAAAAAAGAATAATTTTCTTGCCGGGCGTGGTGGCTCATGTCTGCAGTCCCAGCATTTAGGGAGGCCGAGGCAGGTGGATCACCTGAGGTTGGGAGTTTGAGATCAGCCTGGCCAATATGGTGAAACCCTGCCTCTACTAAAAATACAAAAATTAGCAGGGTGTGGTGGCGCTCGAATGTAGTCCCAGCTACTCGGGAAGCTGAGGCAGAAGAATCATTTGAACCCAGTCGGCGAAGGTGGCAGTGAGCCAAGATCGTGCCACTGCACTCCAGCCTGGGCGACAGAGACTCCAGCTTGGAAAAAAAGATAATTTTCTTGAACTCAGTATCTAGTTACCTTCTCTCTGATTTCCTGTCCCAAGGCTCCAGAGGTTCCGTGCACCTTCCACATGAGTGCTCCTTTACACACAAAAAACTTACTTCTCTGAATCATACTTACCTCACGATGTAAAATCCTCCAGGGTGGTGAGAAGTGAATGACTGTAATGTCCAAATAACAAGATTTCACAGAAACGGATAAATGGAATTACAAATAACTAAAGTCATTATATTTAACCTATCATAATTTACTGTGACAAAGTATAAGAGAAATAAAGTAAAAATAAAAGTTCAAGAGGAAAAAGGAATGATATAAAACCCCTATTAAAAAAGGTATAAGGCCGGGCGCGGTGGCTCAAGCCTGTAATCCCAGCACTTTGGGAGACCGAGGCGGGTGGATCACGAGGTCAAGAGATCGAGACCATCCTGGTCAACATGGTGAAACCCCGTCTCTACTAAAAATACAAAAAATTAGCTGGGTGTGGTGGCACGTGCCTGTAATCCCAGCTACTCAGGAGGCTGAGGCAGGAGAATTGCCTGAACCCAGGAGGCGGAGGTTGCGGTGAACTGAGATCGCACCATTGCACTCCAGCCTGGGTAACAAGAGCGAAACTCTTGTCTCAAAAAAAAAAAAAAAAAAAAAAAAAAAAAAGGCATAAACCTTTACATCTTTTTATTTTTATTTATTTAAAATCGCACCACTGTACTCAGCCTGGGCGACAGAGCAAGACTCTGTCTCAAAAGAAAACAAACAAAAACAACAAAAAGCAATAACACAATGAAGCAAACAAATTCATTAGGTAACAATCAACACGGTATCTGTAACAGTACCTTATATCTCAATATTATTGCTTGAATCCGGGAGGCAGAGGTTGTAGTGAGCTGGGACTGTGACACTGCACTGCAGCCTGGGTGACAGAGCAAGACACTTGTCTCAGGTAAGTAAAAAACTGGCGAGGCAGTACTGACAGTATGACAGAACTTGCACCCTTTTCTTTTTTTGAGACGTCGTTTTGCTCTGTTGCCCAGGCTGGAGTGCGGTAGCGTGATCTCTACTCATTGCAACCTCTGCCTCCCAGGTTCAAGTGATTCTCCTGACTCAGCCTCCTGAGTTGCTGGGATTACAGGTGCACACCACCACACCTAGCTAATTTTTGTATTTTTAGTAGGGAAGGGGTTTCACCATGTTGGCCAGGCTGGTCTCAATATTCTGACCTTGTGATTCGCCCGCCCTGGCCTCCCAAAGTGCTGGGATTACAGGTGCCCACCACTACGCCCAGCTTATTTTTTTTTTTTTTTTTTTTTTTTGAGTCGGAGTTTCGCTCTTGTTACCCAGGCTGGAGTGCAATGGCACGATCTCGGCTCACCGCAACCTCCGCCTCCTGGGTTCAGGCAATTCTCCTGCCTCAGCCTCCTGAGTAGCTGGGATGACAGGCACGCGCCACCATGCCCAGCTAATTTTTTGTACTTTTAGTAGAGACGGGGTTTCACCATGTTGACCAGGATGGTCTCGATCTCTCGACCTCGTGATCCACCCACCTCGGCCTCCCAAAGTGCTGGGATTACAGGCTTGAGCCACCGCGCCCGGCCTATTTTTGTATTTTTACCACGTTGGCCAGGCTGTTCTCAAACTCCTGACCTCGTGATCCATTAGCCTCGGCCTCTCAAAGTGCTGGGATTATAGGCATGAGCCACAGCGCCTGGACATTTTTTTTTGTTTGTTTTGAGACAGAGTTTCGTTTTGTTGCCCAGGCTGGAGCACAGTGATGCAATCTTGGCTCACTGAAACCCCCGCCTCCTGGGTTCAAGCAATTCTCCTGCCTCAGCCTCCTGAGTAGCTGGGATTACAGGCATGAGCCTCTGCGCCCAACCAACTGTGAATAAACAATTTTCATCTGGCTTTCTGAAATGCTGACAGGAATCATAACTAGTTCATGCTGCTTTCCCCAAATTTCCTAGGCTTCTAGGGATCCCAGTAAGGAACATTCTTCTTTCTTGGAATAGTCAAAAAATGTTGTACTTAATAAAACCAAAGAGACATAGACAGACAGACACACACACTCTTCCCACAAAAACCCAAACAAGGCCAGGCATGGTGGCTCACGCCTGTAATCCCACCACTTTGGGAGGCTGAGGTGGGTGGATCACCAGGTCAAGGGTTCGAGACCAGCTTCAAACCCCACCTCTATTAAAAGTACAAAAATGGGGAAGTGGGAAGAGATAGCATGGGGAGAAATGACAGATACAGGTGAGGGGACGGAAGGCAGCAAACCACACTGCCATGTGTGTACCTATGCAACAATCTTGCATGTTCATCACATGTACCCCGAAACCTAAAATAAAATAAAATAAAATAAAAAAATAAAATAAAAGTACAAAAATTAGCCTGTAATCCCAGCTACTCAGGAGGCTGAGGCATAATTACTTGAACCCAGGAGGCAGAGGTTGCAGTGAGCTGAGATTGCGCCACTGCATTCCAGCCTAGACGACAGACCAAGATTCCATCTCAAATAAATAAATAAATAAATAAAAAGACCCAAACAAAACCCAAGTAAATAGCAACTGTTCCCCAACACACTGACAAAAGATCAGAAACAATCATTATCATGATTAAAGGGAAATAATAATTAGGTGACTGTTTCTTTTTTCTTTCTTTCATAGCCAGACTGTTTCTTTTGAGAAGACTTTTTGTGACATCTTTCGAGAAAGGTAGTAGTAAACATATTAGACATTTGTACATGGACACAGGTGTCCATTTTAACTTCTGTTTCATTCACTTCCTGATATACATTGTACAATTTGCATTTCATTTTGTGTGTTCCTGTTTGGAGAAGAATTTTTATACATCTGGCATTTTGAATTAAATCTAAATCCTCTTTAACATAGCATGGGACGAAAGAAAGACTGACTAATGCCAATTTAGTTTCAGCCACTTTATGCAGGAATCTAAAAGCATCAAATTTCCTTGTACCCTGGGAACAATATATAGCATGAACAAAAGGTTACAGAGGGAAGAAAATGTAATTGATTCTGAAGAGCGTGAACATCTGCAAAGAATGTATTGTAGGAGAAAAATGATCTTTGAGGGTCCTACTTACGATGAAACAGTTTCTAGCTACCCATGACAGAGAAATAGCTGCCTTACATCCCGTCTCAAAGTCCAATCTCTAAGCAGAGCAGGACTGCTGATGCTTGAAGTTACTTTCTAAAACATGGAAACAAATAGAAACACGGTAGAAGACTTCACAAAATTAACTCCTCTAGTGGTGATGAGCTAATGTACTTAGAGAAAAAGTCAGAAACTACACTCTGGTCAAAATTCTGCCATTAAATTGTGGCCAAGTCAACTGATCTCTTTGAGCCTCAAGGTCCTCAACTTTGACATGGGAGGGTTGAACTGACAAGGGTCTTTTATGATGTTGTCTAGGATTATAATATTAACAGAGTACCTTTTCTTCTAGAAGTCTCTTGAGTCTTAGACTTTCAATTTTGGACAGAAAAAACAAAATTTTAATGCAACTAATTTAAGAACATCAACATTTATTTAACATGATAAAAAAGAAATGAGATATGAACATTTGCATTTAAACAATAGTAAGTAGCCTTTAATACATTACATGTGCTCATTGTATAATATATACACAATGAACATAATTACATTTGTACACAAACTAAGTACTGGATTTGAAAACCTGCTTATTGCTGTACACATGTATTCCAATGAAGTATAAGCCCAGTACTTCAAAATACCTACACTTTTAATTGTTTTTTTTTTTTTTTTTTTTTTTTAAGAAAAGGTAAGTGATAACATTTGTGTTTAAGCTGACAGGAGTGTGGCAGTAACTGCTGACATTGCAATCTGACCGAGAAAGAATTACAGCAGAAAACAGGACATACTTCACTTAGCAATAAAATGGCACATTTTAAATATATATATATATATATATATAAAATTTTTACAAATCTAGTGTGAAACAAAAGCACTGCAGTAGCTAAAATGGGAAGAAGAAAAAAAAAAAGGAAAACAAGCTTCATTGGAAATGATAACTAACTTTAGAAAATGAAAAGCAAAAAAAAAATATATAAATTCACTTAGACTTAAGAAACACCGAAATCTGGAAATCAGCAACTAAGTAAGCTCTGGCAATAGACTGCACATTAAAAAGCACCTTTACTTATGTGCTCTGAAATCATAGCAGCAAGCTGGTGTCAGAATAATAACCTTGAGATTACGGAGTGTACATATGGGCCATTAAAGCTGTTTTGGAATAAACATTTTCCAGAAGTGATAAAATGATGCTCTGTGACCAAAAGCATCAGAACTATGAATTTCATAGATTTAAAATATACTGTACAATATCTTCTTACACTGCTGAAGGTCCAAGTCTTTAGCTTTGAATGGTTTCAACAGAAGTCAGTATAGCTGAAAAATAAGAGGGAGAAAATTACTTTGACAGCTGCAATGTTAATTAATTACCATTTCTCAAAGTTAAGTAAGGATGACATCATTCTGTAACAACAGAACTAACAAGCATGGCCATGAAAATCCTAAAACACAAAACAATTAAAGGATATTTTTCTTCATATCCATAGCTTAATTCACAAAGCGAAGAAACATAATGCAATTTTTTTTTGAGTCTCGCTCTGTTGCCAGGCTGGAGTGCAGTGGCTCAATCTTGGCTCAGTGCAACCTCTGCCTCCTGGGTTCAAGAGATTTCCCTTGCCTCAGCTTCCCAAGTAGCTGGGACTACAGGCGTGCACTATCATGCCTAATTTTTTTTTTTTTTTTTTGGTATTTTAGTAGAGATGGGGTTTCACCATGTTGGCCAGGATGGTCTCCATCTCCTGACCCTGTGATCTGGCTGCCTTGGCCTCCCAAAGTGCTGAGATTACAGTAGTGAGTCACCCCGCCTGGCCAATTTTTTTTTTTTTTGAGACAGGGTTTTGCTTGCTCTGCTGCCTGGTGCAATCCTGGCTCCCTGCAACCTCTGCCTTCTGGGTTCAAGCAATTCATCTGCCTCCATCTCCCAACTAGCTGGGATTACAGGACTGTACACTATGCCTGGCTAATTTTTGTATTTTTAGTAGAGACAGTTTTCATCATGTTGGCCAGGCTGGTCTCAAACTCCTGGCCTCAAGTGATCTGCCTGCCTCAGCCTCCCAAAGTGCTAGGATTACAGGCATGAGCCACTGTACCAGGCCCCATGAAGAAACATGATGCCTTTTTCTTTTTTTGAGAATGAGTCTCGCTCTGTTGCCAGGCTGGAGTGCAGTGCCATGATCTCGGCTCACTGCAACCTCTGCCTCTTGAGTAGCTGGGACTAGAGGTGTGCACCACCATGCCCAGGTAATTTTTATATTTTTATTAGAGACAGGGTTTCACCATGTTGGCCAGGATGGTCTCCATCTCCTGTCCTTGTGATCTACCCACCTCGGCCTCCCAAAGTGCTGGGATTATAGGCGTGAGCCACCGCACCCATCCAACATAAGGCAATTATAAATACGAATACAGAATAAAAAAAGTACCAAACTTGTAGCTGAATCCAAAGGATCAACAAAATAAGCAAACATTTGCATAACTCCACTAAAATATGTAATAACATATTGAACTGCCTATATAGTAGTGTCATTTGTAAAGTTTTCCTAAGTCCTGACAAAACCACTAGTTCAGAAAGATGGCATATGCATAATAGGAAGATATAAAATGATACAAGTTTTCATGCCTTTAGCTGTTTGTGGTGGCTGCATACCATGAGACTAGAAAATACCCCACAATAATTATACCTCATTACAGGATGCCACTGTTCTTGGAATAAAAGAAAAACAAAGTAAAATCCCATAACAATTTAAGAAACTTGGGGCTGGACGCGGTGGCTCATGCCTGTAATCCAAGCACTTTGGAGGCCAAGGTGGGTGGATCACCTGAGGTTGGGAGTTCAAGACCAGCCTGAGCAACATGGTGAAACCCTGTCTTTAAAAAAAAAAAAAAAAAGCCGGGCGCGGTGGCTCAAGCCTGTAATCCCAGCACTTTGGGAGGCCGAGGCGGGTGGATCACGAGGTCAAGAGATCGAGACCATCCTGGTCAACATGGTGAAACCCCGTCTCTACTAAAGGTGCAAAAAATTAGCTGGGCATGGTGGCGCGTGCCTGTAATCCCAGCTACTCAGGAGGCTGAGGCAGGAGAATTGCCTGAACCCAGGAGGCGGAGGTTGCGGTGAGCCGAGATCGCGCCATTGCACTCCAGCCTGGGTAACAAGAGCGAAACTCCGTCTCAAAAAAAAAAAAAAAAAAAAAAAAAAAAATGCCGAGTGCAGTGGCTCAAGTCTGTAATCCCAGCACTTTGGGAGGCCGAGGCGGGTGGATCACGAGGCCAAGAGATCGAGACCATCCTGGTCAACACGATGAAACCCCATGTCTACTAAAAATACAAAAAATTAGCTCGGCTTGGTGGTGCGTGCCTGTAATCCCAGCTACTCAGGAGGCTGAGGCAGGAGAATTGCCTGAACCCAAAAGGCGAAGGTTGCGGTGAGCCGAGATCGTGCCATTGCACTCCAGCCTGGGTAACGAGAGCGAAACTCCGTCTCTAAATAAATAAATAAATAAATAAAATTTAAAAAAAATAAAGAAACTTGGAAATATACTTGAGTTTTAACCCAGAATATCCTTTATTATTGGAAGGATATGTGTACAGTCACAACCTGTTTATTGAACCAAAATATATGAATAGCTCTTTTTTTTTTTTTTTTTTTTTTTTTTGAGACGGAGTTTCGCTCTTGTTACCCAGGCTGGAGTGCAATGGCGCGATCTCGGCTCACCGCAACCTCCGCCTCCTGGGTTCAGGCAATTCTCCTGCCTCAGCCTCCTGAGTAGCTGGGATTACAGGCACATGCCACCATGCCCAGCTAATTTTTGTATTTTTAGTAGAGACGGGGTTTCACTATGTTGACCAGAATGGTCTCGATCTCTTGACCTCGTGATCCACCCGCCTCGGCCTCCCAAAGTGCTGGGATTACAGGCTTGAGCCACCGCGCGCGGCCAATAGCTCTTAATGTATACATTATAGTCACTTCTTTTTTTTTTTTTTTTTTTGAGATGGAGTTTCGCTCTTGTTACCCAGGCTGGAGTGCAATGGCACGATCTCGGCTCACTGCAACCTCCGCCTCCTGGGTTCAGGCAATTCTCCTGCCTCAGCCTCCTGAGTAGCTGGGATTACAGGCACGCACCACCATGCCCGGCTAATTTTTTGTATTTTTAGTAGAGACGGGGTTTCACCATGTTGACCACGATGGTCTCGATCTCTTGACCTCGTGATCCACCCGCCTCGGACTCCCAAAGTGCTGGGATTACAGGCTTGAGCCACCGCACCCGGCCTCCATTATAGTCACTTCTAAACATACTGAGTTAAAAGTTTAAACATAGCCAGGTGTGGTGGTTCAATATTGGAATTCCAGCACTTTGGGAGACTGAGGCAGACAGAGTACTTGAGCTCAGGAGTTTGAGACCAGCCTGGACAACATGGCAAAACCTTTACTCTACAAAAAATACAAAATATTAGCCAGGCATTGGGGTACACACCTGTGGTCCCAGCTACTTGGGAGGCTGTTGTGGGAAGATTACTTGAGCCCAGGAGGTCAAGGCTCCTCCAAGATCTTACCACTGCACTCCAGCCTGGATGACTGGGTGAGACATGATTGCAAAAAAACCACAAACAAACAAACAAACAAAAAAAGGAAAGTAAAGAAAAATTTTGAGAATGTAAAAATCAGAGGCTGGGCGCAATGGCTTATGTGGCAGGAGGGTAGCTTGAGTTGAGGAGTCTGAGACCAGTGTGGGCAACGTAGTTAAGACCTTGTCCCTACAAGAAAACCAAAATATTAGCCAGGTGTGGTGGAGTGCACTTGTGATCCCAGCTACTTCTAAGGCTGAGGCAGCAGGACTGCTTGAACCCAGAAGGTCAAGGTTGCAGTGAACTGTGATTGTGCCACTGCACTCCAACATGGGTGATTATCTCTGAAAAAAGAAATAACATAAAAAGTAAAATAAAATAAGAAAAATAAAACGATGTTAGTGCTAATGCTTATAATGTCTCTCTGTTTTTGCTGTTTATAATTGTTCAACAGAAATTGGTAGTAATCCTAAAGCATCAAACTTTATTAGATATGGTAGATGCTGTGAGAAAGAAAATGGAGAAAAAGGCATAACATTCTTACTCTATACAAGCTTTTACAAAAAGTTAAAAAACTTTTAGAGTTCTCTATAAGTACTACATTATACGTTAAAATTAGCAATTGTCAGCCGGGCGCGGTGGCTCAAGCCTGTAATCCTAGCACTTTGGGAGGCTGAGGCAGGTGGATCACGAGGTCGAGAGATCGAGACCATCCTGGTCAACATGGTGAAACCCCGTCTCTACTAAAAATACAAAAATTAGCTGGGCATGGTGGCACATGCCTGTAATCCCAGCTACTCAGGAGGCTGAGGCAGGAGAATTGCTTGAACCCAGGAGGCGGAGGTTGCAGTGAGCCGAGATCGCACCATTGCATTCCAGCCTGGGTAACAAGAGCGAAACTCCGTCTCAAAAAAAAAAAAAAAAAAAAAAAAAAAATTAGCAATTGTCCATAAAGTTTATTATTTTTTTTAAGAGAAGTTTTCACCATGTTGGTCAGGCTGGTCTTGAACTCCAAACCTCAGATGATCCACCTGCCTTGGCCTCCAAAGTGCTTGGATTACAGGCATGAGCCACCATACCCAGCTGTCCATAGAGTTTAAAAGAATTTAGGAAATTAGGCTGGGCGTGGTGGCTCACGCCTGTAATCCAAGCACTTTGGAGGCTAAAGTGGGTGGATCACCTGAGGTCGGGAGTTCAAGACCAGCCTGACCAACATGATGAAACCCTGTCTTAAAAAAAAAAAAAAAAAAGGCTGGGTGTGGTGGCTCAAGCCTGTAATCCCAGCACTTTGGGAGGCCAAGGTGGGTAGATCACAAGGTCAAGAGATCGAGACCATCCTGGTCAACGTGGTGAAACCCCGTCTCTACTAAAAATATTTAAAAAATTAGCTGGGCATGGTGGCCCGTGCCTGTAATCCCAGCTACTCAGGAGGCTGAGGCAGGAGAATTGCTTGAAACCGGGAGGCGGAGGTTGCGGTGAGCCGAGATCGCGCCATTGCACTCCAGCCTGGGTAACAAGAGCGAAACTCTGCCTCAAAAAAAAAAAGAATTCAGGAAATTATTCTCAATTATACATCTGTGCTCTAAGAACACTGTTCAAGAAAGGATTCCTCCTTCTCCCTGATCCCATCCATGGTTTTAATAACTACCTCCCTGACTTAATAAAATTCGGTTACTTAGAAATAATATCAGATAGACATTAAAGATTTTAATATTCCATCAAGTTGGCTGTACCATAAACATTTCATTGTCATTTACAATAATTAGCAAATTCCCAATGGGCAGACATGTCACACAAACTTGTAAAAAACGTTACATAATCAACCTGTAATCACTTAAACAGAATTCTCCGGTCAGGCTATGAAAAGCAACATTAAGTAGAAGCACAGCTGCAAAACACTGCAAGTCTTGGCACAGGCCATACCCTCCAAATTTTGTTGTTTTTGTGGATGATGAAATAAGAGACAAAGAAAATGCTGTCACACAGCAATCACTGGAAGGGCCAATGTTAGAAATCTGACCCTGATTCCAAGATACGGCCTACTTGTTCTGCTAGCTATCCCTATGTACAGCCCAGAACTAATCCCAGTTTTGATTCACTAAACCAACAGATGAATAATGAAATTCAAGTAAAAAAACTCTAAAGTACAAACGCAAAGGGAAATGACGTACTTCTCTGAGACTACACACACATGAAATGTGATCCTTCTGTGAGCTGTGGCTGAGTGGATGGAACAGGCGATGCCGAAGACTCAGGAGATGGGGAAAGACTTTTCACTAAAACACACAAAGAAAATGTGAGCAGATAAAAATCTTTAAGATGCATTTGGAGAAGGAAATTCTGATGCTGTAATCCCACAAAAATTATGTTTTGAGAAGGAAGTAATAGATGCATTTGGTTCTATTGTGATTTTCTTTTTCTTTATAAATAATTAAAAACAAATTTTAAAAAATGTTATTAATCAAGATGGGAGTCTTGCTATGTCGACCAGGCTGGTCTTGAACTCCTGGCATCATGCAATCCTCCCATCTTGATTTCCCAAAGTGTTGAGATTACAGGCATGAGCCACCATGCTCAGCTTGTTATTTTCTAATCTGTAATCTAAATATTCAGTATAAAATGTTTCCTGAAGACTATTTAAAAATTTTTTTTTTTTTGGGCCTTGTGTGGTGCCTCACGGCTATAATCCCAGCAATTTGGGAGGCTGAGGTGGGTGGATCATTTGAGGTCAGAAGTTTGAGACCAGTCTGGCCAACAATGGTGAAACACCGACTCTACTAAAAATATAAAAATTAGTCAGACATGGTAGCTGGTGCCTGTGGTCCTAGCCACTCAGGAGGCCATGGCAGAAGTGCTTGAACTTGGGAGCAAGAGGCTGCAATGAGCTGAGATTACACCACTGTACTCTAGCCTGGGTCACTTTGTCTCTAAAAAAAAAAAAAAAACCCCAAAAAATAAAAAAACCCCGCTACATTACAATTTTTTTTTTTTTTTTTTTTTTTGCTGTGAGGTTAATTTTCTGTTGGAACATTTCTGGTTCTATGCAGCTAAATACTACAGAAGATTTAAATGCTGTGGTTTTAATACTATCATACCACTTTGATCCAGACCTTCTGCATAATAACCAAAACTGGCCAGTGACAATTTTTTTTTTAAGTGAGACCTCCTGTGCATACTGCCTTATTTATTTATTCTTTGACACAGGGTCATGCTCTGTTGCCCAGGCTGGAGAGCAGTGCTGCAATCACAGAGCTCACTGTAGCCTCCACCTTCTGGGCTCAAGGTATCCTCCACCTCAGCCTCCTTAGAAGCTAGGTCTATAGTTGAGTGCCACCCTGCATGGCTAAATTTGGAAAATTATCATTTTTAGTAGAAATGTCTTGTTATGTTGCCTAGGCTGGTCTTGAATCCCCGAACTTAAGTAATACTCCTGCCTTAGCCTCCCAAAGTGCTGAGATTATATACGTGAGCCACTGTGCCCAGCTCATACTGCCTTGTAAGTGAGAGAGGCAAAGGAAAAGGCAGTACTTAGTATTTGTTATAAGGGAATATGACTGATAACATAAATGTATACTTTATTTTAAATTTTATTTAAATTTATATAACATAAACATGTTATATTTATTTATTTATTTATTTTTTTATTTTTTTTTTTTGAGACGGAGTTTCGCTCTTGTTACCCAGGCTGGAGTGCAATGGCGCGATCTCGGCTCACCGCAACCTCCGCCTCCTGGGTTCAGGCAATTCTCCTGCCTCAGCCTCCTGAGTAGCTGGGATTACAGGCACACGCCACCATGCCCAGCTAATTTTTTGTATTTTAAGTAGAGACGGGGTTTCACCATGTTGACCAGGATGGTCTCGATCTCTCGACCTCGTGATCCACCCGCCTCGGCCTCCCAAAGTGCTGGGATTACAAGCTTGAGCCACCGCGCCCGGCCAACATGTTATATTTATATAGGTACTGAAGATGTTCTATTCCGAGCATGTTTTTCCTAACAGTGGTCCTGCATATTTGAATTTCATTGTTCTTACCCTTCTGCAAAAGGGCAGGAGTGGTGGTGGGGTTTCATAGGAACCGTTTTTTCACTTATGGACTACAAGAAGCAAAGCTGGCTGGGTGTGGTAGCTCACGCCTGTAATCCTAGCACTTTGGGAGGCAGAGGCAGGTGGATAACCCGAGTACAGGAGTTCAAGACCAGTCTGGCCAACATGGTGAGATCCTCCCTGTCTCTACTAAAAATACAAAAATTAGCTGGGCGTGGTGTTGGGTACCTATAATCCCAGCTACTCTGGAGGCTGAGGCAGGAGAATCACTTAAATGTTGGGGGTGGAGGTGCAGTGAGCTGAGATCACACCAAAGAGCAAAACTCCGTCTCAAAAAAAACAAAAAACAAAAAAACCCAAAAAACAAAACCAAAAGCAAAGCTAATAATATGCGCTAATTCCCATTCCTACCCCCTAAAAATCATAAAGAAAATGAATAAAAGGGGTAGGTTCAGTGGCTTACACCTGTAATCCAGCACTTTGGGAAGCCAAGACAGGCTGATCACTTGAGGTCAGGAATTCCAGACCAGCCTGGCCAACGTAGTGAAACCCCATCTCTACAAAAAATACAAAAAATAGGTGTGTATGTGTGGAGACCAGGATTAAAAAAAAAAAAAAAAAAGCAAAATTAGCTAGGCATGGTGGCATGTGCCTGTAATCCCAGCTATTTGGGAGTCTCAGGCAGGAGAATCCCTTGAACCAGGGAGGTGGAGGTTGCAGTGAGCCAAGATTGCACCCCTGTACTCCAGCCTGGGTGACAGGGTGAGAAGAAAAGGTTTGTGAAGAGTCCAAAAAATATGAGAGAACAGCACAGAGCAAAAAAATTTTTTTTTTGAGACAGTCTTGCTTGGTCATCCAGGGTGGAGTGCAATAGCTTGATCTTGGCAACCTCCACCTCCTGGTTTCCAGTGATTTTCCTGCTTCGCCTCCCAAGTAGCTCTGATTACAGGCACGCACCACCACACCTGACTCATTTTTGTATTTTTAGTAGAGATGAGGTTTCACCATGTTGGCTAGGTTTGTCTCCAACTCCGACCCCTCAGGTGATCCACCCACCTCGGCCTTCCAAAGTGCTGAGATTACAGGCGTGAACCACTGCGCCCAGCCTTGGTTTTTAAGCTTTCCATGGATAACTATTTTCTACAATTAAAGGAACAGCCGGATATGGATTATAGAAAGGTTGGAGTAAACAAACCCACTCTATTAGTTTAGATATTAAATCCGCCACAGTTCCTAATGTGGCAGGTTTGTGAAAGCCCTGGGAACAGATTTTGCAAGTACTCAAATATTTCCTTATTAAAAAAAGTTTACGGCTGGGCGCGGTGGCTCAAACCTGTAATCCCAGCACTTTGGGAGGCCAAGACGGGTGGATCACAATGTCAAGAGATCGAGACCATCCTGGTCAACATGGTGAAACCCCGTCCCTACTAAAAATACAAAAAATTAGCTGGGCATGGTGGCGCGTGCCTGTAATCCCAGCTACTCAGGAGGCTGAGGCAGGAGAATTGCCTGAACCAGGGAGGCGGAGGTTGCGGTGAGCCGAGATCGCGCCATTGCACTCCAGCCTGGGTAACAAGAGTGAAACTCTGTCTCCAAAAAAAAAAAAAAGTTTACTTTATGTGTTAAAATTGAAAACAAAAAGCAAAAACAAAACCAATGTGCTTATCCCACTGCCAGGGTAGACTCTGTGGCAGGGGCTGCACCCCTCCTGAAGGGATATTTGGGGAGGCAAACGTTGACTAATCTGTAGTCAAGGTACTTAAGTGGCTCTCTTCTTAGAATCTCCCTATGGAAAATAAATTAAAAAGCTCAGAGGAAGCACCAGGGAGAAAATTATGACATGCATAATATCTACCTGCCATTGTTTGATTTCCTCTAGAAACCTCAGGAGTTGATTCGTAAGAAATAACAGTTTCTTCCTGTACGACAACATTGTTCTTTGCATTTTCTTCAACAAGAGGATCTTCTGGTTGGTAATTTGTGATCTGTGTCTCATCTTGAGGGCTGATGAAAATAGATTGGTATTTAAAAATTTGTCACTATGGAATACAATTAATTTTTCTTCTACTTTTTTTGTTACGAAAGATGCCACCCACCACCTATGTGTAACAACTCACATTTTCTTACAATTAAGCTTTTCTTTATGAAAGCTTCAAAAAAAATAGAGCACATAATAAACTTGTATACTCATGTCAATAATTTAAGTAGTGAAACCCCATCTTGCTTGCCAATCTTGCTTCATCTAAGCCCAAAGACCTTTGCTCCATAAACCATGTAAAGCAGATTCTAGATGTGATATTTAATCTGTAAGTACTTCAGTACGTATTTTTAATATGTTAATGCCATCAAATATCTAGTCAGTGCTCAAATTTTCCTGGTACCTCATTATGTCATTTTAGAATCAGAATCAGGATCCAAACAAGGTCCATATATTGCCTAATAAGTTTCTTTCTTTTTTTCTTTTTTTGAAGACGGGGTTTCACCATGTTGGTCAGGGTGGTCTTGAACTCCCGACCTCAGGTGATACACCTGCCTTGGCCCCCAAAGTGCTTGGATTACAGGCATGAGCCACCAAGCCTGGCCGCCTAACAAGTTTCTTTCTTTCTTTTTTTTTTTAAAGATGGGGTTTCACCATTCTGGCCAGGCTGGTCTTGAACTCCTGACCTCAGGTGATCCACCCACCTCAGCCTCCCAAAGTGCTGGATTATAGGCGTGAGCCACCACGCCCGGCCCTAACAAATTTCTTAAAAGTCTACCTTAATCTAAGCCGGGCGCGGTGGCTCAAGCCTGTAATCCCAGCACTTTGGGAGGCCGAGGCGGGTGGATCACGAGGTCGAGAGATCGAGACCATCCTGGTCAACATGGTGAAACCCCGTCTCTACTAAAAATACAAAAAATTAGCTGGGCATGGTGGCACGTGCCTGTAATCCCAGCTACTCAGGAGGCTGAGGCAGGAGAATCGCCTGAACCCAGGAGGCGGAGGTTGCGGTGAGCCAAGATCGCGCCATTGCACTCCAGCCTGGGTAACAAGAGCGAAACTTCCGTCTCAAAAAAAAAAAAAAAAAAAAAAAAAAAAAAGTTTACCTTAATCTAAAACAAACTGTCCCAGATCCCTTTTATTCTTTGCCATTTATATGTAAAAGAACCTGGTCTATCTGTCCTATACAGTTTGTCACATTCTACATTCTGATGATTGTATTCCTCAAGATTTGTATAAAGTTATACGATTTTGAGGCTTATTCACACTTATGTTTTGGAGGGGCAAGTAACATTTCATTAAGTGGGTGTCATAAACTATTGCATTAATAGATTGTTTCTTTCTGTGATGTTAAAAATGCTCGGTGAGTTCAGGGGTTTTGGGAACCCAAAATTTTTAACATCACAGAAAGAGTTCATATAAATCTCTTTGTCAGATTTTCAGCTAATAGCTTTGGCAGCCACTGAGGAATACTGTTCAAATCCATTATTTCATTAGGGTTAGCAAAGCATGACACTATTGTTGCCCAGGCTAGAGTGCAATGGTGCAATCTCAGCTTGCCGCAACCTCTGCCTCCAAGGTTCAAAGTGATTCTCCTGCCTCAGCCTTCCGAGTAGCTAGGATTATAGGCTTGTGCCAACACACCCAGCTAATTTTGTATTTTTAGTAGAGACGAGGTTTCTCCATGTTGGTCAGGCTGGTCTGGTCCCGCCTCAGCCTCTCAAAGTGTTGGGATTACAGGCATGACCCACGGTGCCTGGCCTCTTTTTTTTTGTGAGACAGATTCTCACTCTGTCGCCCAGGTTAGAGTACAGTGGTGTGATCTCGGCTCACTGCAACTGCCACGTCCCTGGCTCAAGCAATTCTTGTGCCTCAGTCTTCTAAGCAGGTGGGATTGCAGGCCTGTGCCACTATGCCTATATAATTTTGTATTTTCAGTAGAGACAGGGTTTTACCATATTATTGGCCAGTTTTCAAACTCCTAGCCTCAAGTGATCCGCCCACCTCAGCTCCCCAAAGTGCTGGAATTATAGGCAAGAGCCACTGCGCCTGGCCACAAAGCAATGATACTCTGTCTCTCCCTTGAAATTGATCCAAAAATAAAAGTTTCCTCAAACTATTTGGTTACAGTTTGGGAAAAAAAAAACCATGATAAACACTCGATCCTTTCCCTTAATGTACTAAGTTTTGGAATTAAAAGTTCACTCCCTAGCATCCTTTAAAATGGCCAACAAATATTTTTTGTTGTCGTTGTATCATTATAAACTCCAATTTTTAACATACTGAATGTATTTTAATCTATGCATCTTATTACAAAAATTCAGCAGAGGTATTTTTCTTATCAGACATTGCCAAATACTTTTCAAATTCAGTTTTGCTATTCATTTAAGAAATAAAGGCTTTCCTAATAACATTCAACCATAGCATTTCTGTTTTCTAGGTCTGCTATATATTTTTTTTTTGGGGGGGGAGCAGTGAGACAGAGTCTTACTCTGTCCCTAGGCTGGAGTACAGTGGTGCAATCTCGGCTCACTGCAACCTTCGCCTTCTGGGTTCAAGTGATTCTTCTGCCTCAGCCTCCCAAGTTGTTGGGACTAGAGGCACACGCCACCATGCCCAGTTAATTTTCATATTTTTAGTAAAGATAAGGTTTTACCATATTGGCCAGGCTGGTCTCAAACTCCTGACCTTGTGATATGCCTGCCTTGGGCTCCGAAAGTGCTTGGATTACAGGTGTGAGCCACCATGTCCAGTCATATTTTCTCATTAATCTTTACAAAATACTTGTTAGATAGGTACTATTATTATTATTATTATTATTATTTATAGAGATGGGGTTTCACCATGTTGGCCAGGATGGTCTTGATCTCTTGATCTTGTGATCCACCTGCCTCGGCCTCCCAAAGTGCTGGGATTACAAGCATGAGCCACCACGCCCAGTCAATAGATACTATTATTATTCCCTCTTTTTTTTTTGAAATAGGGTCTCATTCTGTTGCCTAGGTTAGAGTGGCACAATCATGGCTCACTGCAGCCTTGACCTCCTGGGCAGAAGTGATCCTCTCACCTCAGCCTCTCAGTAGCTAGGACTATAGGCACATGCCACCATGTCTGGCTAATTTTTTTTTTTTTTTTTTTTTTTCAGAGATGAGATCTCACTATGTTGCCCAGGCTGGTCTCGAATTCCTGTGCTCCCCGTGATCCTCCTGCCTTGGCCTTTCAAGGTGCTGGAATTAAAGATGTGTGCCACTGTGCCCAGCCCTACTTCCATTTTGACAACTGGGGAATGGGCAGTTCAAGAGATTACATAACTTAATCAAGATTCTATAGCTCCTAGGTGACTAAGCTGGGACTGAAATCCAGTACTTTTGACTCGGAAGTTCACCATTTTTAAGCAGTTAAACAGTTTTGTGAATGATTCCTTTGCTTGCTTTTCTTAAATATTACCTGTATATAACATCCTCAGGCATTTTTTCTTTGTTTCTTTCTTTATCCGTCATTTCCACAGAATTTACACCATTTGGCTCAGGTTCAAAAAGCATTTCATATGAAATATTTTCAGTTTTTTTTAACTATAGGATAAAAAGAAACATTTTCTTTTCAAAGAATTCTTATCACATTAGACTAGCAAATCTAAAATGATTCCAAAATAAAGTTTATTAAACAATCATACTCTTAGCAAATATTTACCAATAATAAATTTAGGTTCAAGTATATTAAAAATATTAACATTCTTTCCTACTAGGATGGAAAGTTATTTGTCTAAAGAGATGATATATATTGCTAAGACGCAGCTATTGGGATATAAGATTCCTTAGTTGGTATTAATGATAATTTAATCTAGCCCTAGCTGATTATGTTTTAAATTTTCAATTAATGCATTTTTATGTTTTTCTTTTTCTTTTTCTTTTTTGAGACAGAGTCTCACTCTGCCCTCCAAGCTGCAGTGCAGTGGTGTGATCTCAGTTCACTGCAACCTCTGCCTCCTGGGTTCAAGCGATTCTCTTGTCTCAACCTTCAGAGTAGGGATTACAGGCACGTGCCACCATACCCAGGTAACTTTTATATTTTCTAGTAGAGACAGCGTTTCCCTATGTTGGCCAGGCTGATTTCAAACTCTGGGCCTCCAGTGACCTGATTGCCTCAGCCTCCAAAGTGCTGGGATTACAGACGTGAGGCACTGTGCCTGGCTGCATTTCCAGGCTGGAATGCAGTGGTGTGATCTCGGCTCACTGCAACTTGGGCTCAGGTGATCTTCCCACTCAGCTTCCCCAATAGCAGCTGGGACTACAGGTGTGATGCCACCATACCTGGCTAAGTTTAGTATTTTTAGTAGAGACAGGATTTCACCAGGTTGCCCAGGCTGGTTTCAAACTCCTGGGATGAAGTGATCTACCCACCTCAGTCTCTCAAAGTGCTGGGATTACACTCATGAGCCACCATGCCAGACCAATTAATGAATATTTTGACGTGGCTGAATACATCAGTCAAACTAAAGAAAGCTTATTTTTTTCATTTAGCTCTATGGCCCCTGTGACTGAAAGAAACATATTTTATTTTCAACCTTACCACTTGATTCAATCTTCACAAATCTACTCCTTTGGAATACCTGTCCTAAAACAATCTCGCTACCTCTTTGCTGAAGTCCACATTTTGGGGTTCATCTTCTTTCAGTTGAACAATTTCTGCTGCAGGAGTTTCATGGTCTGGCTTTACATAATTTTCTCTAATGACAGTGTCCAGTTCCTTAATGTTATCATCCCTCCTTCGAATCTGCTCAAAAGATATATAGCATTTTTATTTTATTTATTTATTTAATTTTTATTTTTATTTTTTGAGACAGAGTCTTGCTCTGTCACCAGGGGCCGGGCTAGAGTGCAGTGGTGCAATCTTGGCTCACTGCTAACTCCGCCTCCCAGGTTCAAGCCATTCTCCTGCCTCAGCCTCCCAAGTAGCTGGGACTACAGGTGCATGCCACCACACCCAGCTAATTTTTTTGTATTTTTAGTAGAGACGGGGTTTCACCATGTTGGCCAGGATGGTCTCGATCTCTTGACCTTGTGATGTGCCCGCCTCAGCCTCCCAAAGTGCTGGGATTACAGGCATGAGCCACCACACCCAGCCAGCATTTTTAAACTCATACTGTGCATGCATGTATATTTTATAAATAGTGCCTGTTAATTCCGAAAATAGAACAAAGCTGGATCTCCACTCATGAAGAAGTTTTCCTACAAAAACTAACAAAGAAAATTTATATATATAGCACTATTCCACTCATTTTTCTCATCTCTTTAAAAATAAACATTCATAAAATTCATTTTATAATTTGTAGAATGTGCCACAATTCAACTGTTGCTTTGTTTAGTCTCCATCAGCAATGCCTGCTCTTTATAAGATGGAAAGAGGGGATGTCCATTAGGACAGGAAAGCATGTTCAGCTGATGCCATTGCAGACAAAATTTAAGATACTATTGCTAGGTGACAAGTGTCTACGAACAGGGATAGACCAGACAGAAGGTACTCAATAGGTTGGCTAGCCTGTTGTCTCTGAATTTATAAAGAAGGGCAAAATAAATAAATAAATAAATAAATAAATAAAAAGAAATAAAGAAGGGCAAAAACCAAAAACAAACAAAAAGAAACAAAATGGCATCACTTTATAAGCCTGAAGTTGAGATGTGATGGACACAGCACACTTGGAGCTTTATTTAGAAGCTCTCTCCTGCTACAATTTAGGTCATGTTAAATTAGGACACAGAGCAATACGCATTTTATTGAGAGGGGAATTGGGGACTATCTTGGTAACCTGCACAGCATTTTACATTTGCTGAAAACCCTTTTATTTTCTTAGTGTCTCTAAGGAGTCTGGGCAGCTGTATCATCACCTTACAGTTGAAGACATTAAGTCCACAACTGGTCCACAGGCATTCAAGAAGTACTTTAGCTCTGGTCTCTTGAACTCATCAGGGTTATTTATATTTTACTTAGCTGTCTTCGCTTATTATCATGATAATTCAATAATATAAAATAACTATCCATACTACAGACCTTTTAAGACCCATCCATCATGTAACTCTGATTCCAAAATTCAGTAGTATTAGATTTACACAAAAGAATAATCAAGCCGGGCGCGGTGGCTCAAGCCTGTAATCCCAGCACTTTGGGAGGCTGAGGCGGGCGGATCACGAGGTCAAGAGATCGAGACCATTCTGGTCAACATGGTGAAATCCCGTCTTTACTAAAAATACAAAAATTAGCTGGGCATGGTGGCGCGTGCCTGTAATCCCAGCTCGGGAGGCTGAGGCAGGAGAATTGGCTGAACCCAGGAGGCGGAGGTTGCGGTGAGCCGAGATCGCGCTATTGCACTCCAGCCTGGGTAACAAGAGTGAAACTCCGTCTCAAAAAAAAAAAAGAATAATCAAATGCAATTCGTGTACCTGAGAAGTCCTAAAAGGATTATCCCTTAAATTTGAAGGGCTTTGTAAGGGTGATGGGTCTGAAGCACCAATAACATTTAATCCTTTTTTCTTTTCCCTCAGGCACGCTTGTTGATGTCTTCTTATTCTTTCCATCTGCTCTTCCACAGTCATCCTAGGTCGAGTACTCTCAGCCAAACAGAGCTGCTCCACTGCACTTCTTGGTCTTTCCTTCAAAGTAAAAACGAACGTATCAATACGTAAATGAAAACTCTGGAAAGGTATGATGGAATAAAAAATGTTGTAAAGTGCATTTGTTTGTTTTCAAAATCACAAGGGGAGGCTTTGAATGTCATTTAAATATCACCGGAAAGGCACATGAAATTGTTATTTTATCTTTAACTGGTAATTGGTGATGTATGGTCAATGACAGAAAGAAAAAGAAAGAAGATACATAAGGGAGGAGAGAAAAAAAGAGGAATAAAAAGTATTTTTTTTTGGCATAAAAAAAAAATACAGGCCAGGAGTGGTGGCTTACACCTGTAATCCCAGCACTTTGGGAGGCTGAGGTGGGTGGATTGCTTGAGCCAGGAATTTAAGACCAGCCTGGACAACATGGTGAAAATCCATCTCTACCAAAAATACAACAATTAGCAAGGCAGGTGCAGTGGCGTATGCCTATAGTCCCAGCTACTTGGGAGGCTAAAGTGGGAGGATGGTTTGAGCCCAGGAGTTGGAGGTTGCAGTGAGCTGAATTGTGCCATTGCACTCCAGCATGGGCGACAGAGCCAGACCCTGTCTCAAACCAACCAACCAACCAACCAACCAACCAACCCACACCCATAATTCAGTTCTAGTAAATCTGGGTAAAACAAAAAACAAACACCACCACCACCATAAAAAGGTAGGGCAAACTGGGCACAGTGGCTCATGCCTGTAATCCCAGCATTTTGGGAGGCTGAGGCAGGTGGATTACTTGAGGCCAGGAGTTCAAGCCCAGCCTGGCCAACATGGCAAAAACCCGTCTCTATAAAAATGCAAAAAAATTAGCCAGGCGTGGTGGCTCATGCCTGTAGTCCCAGGTACTCGGGACGCTGAGGTGGGAGGATCGTTTGAACTTGGGAGGAGGCAGAGGTTGCAGTGAGCTAAGATCGTGCCAGCCTGGGCAATGAGTGAGAGTCTGTCTCAAAAGCAAAAAAAAAAAAAAAAAAAAAAAGAATATGGCAGCTCTGGAGCAAGTCAGTCCCATGACCCTGAGAAAACTGCATAAGACTCAAATGAGGAGAAAACCAGGGGCATGGTATCTAAATATAGGTTTCTTTCATATTGATGAAATGTAATATTTTAAGTCATACATTTACTGTGAAAAGGCCAATAAAGCAAACACCCTTAGATATTTTCTCATTAGTAATACAACTATGAAAATACTTATTTTCTATAAACCAGTCATATTTGAAAATGCTTAATAACGTATACATACACATACATATATACACAGTTGATCTTTGAACAGAACGGGATTGAGCTGCAGAAGTCCATTTATATGAGGATTTCTTTCTTTTTATTTTTTTGAGACAAAGTCTCACTCTGTCACCCAGGCTGGAGTGCAATGGTGTGATCTCAACTCACTGCAACCTCCACTTGCCCAGGTTCAAGTGATTCTCCTGCCACAGCCTCCTGAGTAGTTGAGATTACAGGTGCCTGCTACCACACCCAGCTAATTTTTTTGTATTTTTAGTAGAGATGGTTTCACCAGGTTAGCCAGGCTGGTCTCGAACTCCTGAACTCACATGACCCATCTGCCTTGGCCTCCCAAAGTGCTGGGATTACAGGAGTGAGGCTGAGGATTTTTTTCAATAAAGGTTATACCCAATGTGCCTGCCTCTCCTTCTACTTCGACCTCCTTTGCCTCTGCCACTCCTGAGACAGTAAGAACAACTCCCTCTTCTTTCATCTAGACAATGTGAAGATGATGAGGATGAAGAGCTTTATGATGATCTATTTCCACTTAATAAATGGTAAAATATATTTTCCCTTCCTTATTTTAATTTTATTTGTATGTATGTATGTATGTATGTATGTATGTATGTATGTATTTTTGAGAGGCTATTGCTCTGTCACCCAGGCTGGGGTGCAGTGGGGTAATCACGGACCTCCTGGGCTTAAGTGATCTACCCACTCTCAGCCTCTTGAGTAGGCGAGACCATAGGCACAGGCCACCATGCCTGGCTAATTTTTTTTGGTAATTTTTGTAGAGATGGGGTCTCCTTATGTTGCTTAGGCTAGTCTTGAATTCCTGGGCTCAAGCAATCCTCTAGACCTGGCCTCCCAAAAGTGCTGGAATTACAGGCATGAGCTACTGTGCCTGGCCTAAACCGTCTAGTATCTTTCTACTTGATTTTATATTTGTGTTTGTTTGTTTTGAGACAGAGTGTCACTCTGTTGCCCAAGGCTGGAATGCAGTGGTGCAATCTCGACTCAATGCAACCTCTGTCTCCTGGGTTCAAGTGATTGTTATGCCTCAGCCTCCCGAGCAGCTGAGACTACAGGCGCCTGCCACCACACCCAGCTTATTTTTGGTTTTTAGTAGAGATGGGGTTACACCATGTTGGTCAGGCTGGTCTCAAACTCCTGACCTCAAATTATCTGCCCGCCTTGGCCTTTCAAAGTGCTGAGATTACAAGTGTGAGCTACAGCACCTGGCCTCTGCTTGATTTTAACATGTACTTTTTATGGCCCTTTTTCGGTTGACTTGTTATTTTAGCTTTACTATTTCCAATGAAATCTTCTAATCTCTAAAAAATGCCTAACTAAAGGCCGGGTGCGGTGGCTCAAGCCTGTAATCCCAGCACTTTGGGAGGCCGAGGCGGGTGGATCACGAGGGCAAGAGATCGAGACCATCTTGGTCAATATGGTGAAACCCCGTCTCTACTAAAAATACAAAAAATTAGCTGGGCATGGTGGCACATGCCTGTAATCCGAGCTACTCAGGAGGCTGAGACAGGAGAATTGCCTGAACCCAGGAGGTGGAGGTTGCGGTGAGCCGAGATAGCACCATTGCACTCCAGCCTGGGTAACAAGAGCGAAACTCCGTCTCAAAAAAAATAAAAAGCCTAACTCTCTGAACAAACAATAGTATTACAGAATCATGACCACTAATGACTAATGTTAATAATGGTGTATTATTTTGACTCCATCATTTCCATAGATCTTTATAATTTCATACTAATTAAAAACATTACATTATATTCCTTTTCTTTTTCTTTTGAGAGGGTGTCTCACTGTCACCAGGCTGGAGTATAGTGGCGTGATCTCGGCTCACTGCAACTTCTGCCTCCCAGGTTCAAGCAATTCTCCTGCATGACTACAGGCATGTATTTTGTAGCTGTACTTTGAATATCGTTAAAGAATATCTAGCCTGGGCAACAGAGTGAGACCCCATCACTTACTAATAAAAAGAAAAATAAATTGGCAGAGTATGGTGGCACATGCTTATCGTCCCAGCTAGCCAGGAGGCTGGGGTGAGAGGATACTTTGAGTCCAGGAGCTGGAGGTTCCAGTGAGCTATGATCATGTCATGGCACTTCAGCCGGAGTAACAGAGTGATACCCTATCCATTGAAAAAAAAAAAAGGCTGGCGTAGTGGCTCACACCTGTTATCCCAGCACTTTGGGAGGTCAAGGTGGGCAGATCACGAGGTCAGGAGATCAAGACCATCCTGGCTGACATGGTGGAATCCATCTCTACTAAAAATACAAAAAAATCGGCCGGGCGCGGTGGCTCAAGCTTGTAATCCCAGCACTTTGGGAGGCCGAGGTGGGTAGATCATGAGGTCGAGAGATCGAGACCATTCTGGTCAACATGGTGAAACCCCATCTCTACTAAAAATACAAAAAATTAGCTGGGCATGGTGGCGCATGCCTGTAATCCCAGCTACTCAGGAGGCTGAGGCAGGAGAATTGCCTGAACCCAGGAGGTGGAGGTTGCGGTGAGCCGAGATCACGCCATTGCACTCCAGCCTGGGTAACAAGAGCGAAACTCCGTCTCAAAAAAAAAAAAAAAAAAAAAATCAGCCAGGCATGCTGGCATGCCATATATGTATTTTTGCTTTTGCTTTTTTGAGATGGAGTCTCACTCCGTGGCCAGGCTGAGTGCAGTGGCGCGATCACGGCTCACTGCAACCTCCGCCTCCTGGGTTTAAGCGATTCTCCTGCTTTAGCCTCCCGAGTAGCTGAGATTACAGGTGCCTGGCCACCTTGCCTGGCTAATTTTTTTGTATTTTTAGTAGAGACGAGGTTTCACCATGTTGGCTGGGATAGTCTAGATCTCTTGACCTCATGATCCACATGGCTCGGCCTCCCAAAGTGCTGGGATTACAGGTGTAAGCCACCACGCCCAGCCTACCATATATCTTATATGTACTACCTTTCAGTCATGTCTTATAGCTTATAATTATCTCATATCAAATAGGTATTTATAAAGATAAAAAGTAGAAGTATTTTTGCAGCCCACATTTCTAGAGAATACTTGGGGAAAGGGAGTTGAGTATCCTCAGCATTTTCCAAAGAACAAAACTAGACTGGTTTAGAGTTTGAATTAAATTAATCTCAGATGAAAATGTGAAATACAGGATTTATTTTCCAGTTCCAATTCACATTTCTCAAGAGTAACCAGAGGACTGGCAAACTCTAAAACTATTAATACCATAGGTGAAAGGACCTGCAACCTCATGAAAGCTAGAAAATCCATTAACTTGCGGGTGGCCACAGGACACGTCTGTATCTCTCATCAAGGAAGTTCTTTTTTTTTTTTTGAGACGGAATTTCACTCTTGTTACCCAGGCTGGAGTGCAATGGCAAGATCTCAGCTCATTGCAACCTCTGCCTCCTGGGTTCAGGCAATTCTCCTGCCTCAGCCTCCTGAGTATCTGGGATTACAGGCACGCACCACCATGCCCAGCTAATTTTTTGTATTTTTAGTGGAGACAGGGTTTCACCATGTTGACCAGGATGGTCTCGATCTTTTGACCTCGTGATACGCCTGCCTCGGCCTCCCAAAGTGCTGGGATTATAGGCGTGAGCCACAGCGCCCGGCCCAAGGAAATTCTTTTTTTTTTTTTTTGTGAGACAGAGTTTCACTCTTGTTACCCAGGCTAGAGTGCAATGGCGCGATCTCGGCTCACCGCAACCTCCGCCCCCTGGGTTCAGGCAATTCTCCTGCCTCAGCCTCCTGAGTAGCTGGGATTACAGGCATGCGCCACCACGCCCAGCTAATTTTTTGTATTTTTTAGTAGAGACGGGGTTTCACCATGTTGACCAGGATGGTCTCGATCTCTTGACCTCGTGATCCGCCCGCCTCGGCCTCCCAAAGTGCTGGGATTACAGGCTTGAGCCACCGCGCCCAGCCCAAAAGCTAAGATCTATTCAGGAGAGCAATCATTTCTTTTTTTTCCCTCAACCTCCAAGTGGAACCAGCATTTCTATTATGAAACAATCTATCTTTTTTTTTTTTTTTTGAGACGGAGTTTCGCTCTTGTTACCCAGGCTGGAGTGCAATGGCGCGATCTCGGCTCACCGCAACCTCTGCCTCCTGGGCTCCCAAGGAAATTCTTAAAGGCATCAGGAGTGTAGTACAGTGATTAGAGAATAGATTCCACAAATCGCAGACTATGACTATGACCCCACATCTAGGCTGATCAAAAGAAACCTTAAATTAGGTATTAACTAGGTCTGTCCTCTGATGTCCTAATTCTTCAAACAAAATTTTAAGAATAATTAAGATTATTATGTTTATCCTTGAGTATGCAAAAAGAATTTTGATAAGACAGTGAAAATGAAAACATGTAAGAAGGTGATAAATAGGTCTGAGAATCTTTCTAGAAGTAAATTTCCAGTTAAATACCGTTCTTAGATCCATCATCTTCTTAGTTTTCCTCAGGGTTACATATGAAGCTATTGTGGAAGATTCGGGTGTTGGTGATTTTGTTCTTGGAGGGACTACTCCAACAGGAAAATGGGAACCTAAAAATTGAAACAGCAGTAAGTTCTATAAAACATCTTTTACACAGCATTGCTTTCTTTTAACTTAATTAATTTCTGACCCTTTTAAAATCAGAAAGCAAATTTACCTAAAGAGTCAAGACTGGGCATGGTGGCTCATACCTGTAATCTCAGCACTTTGGGAGGCTGAGGCAGGTAGATAACCTGAGGTCAGGAGTTCAAGACCTGCCTGGCCAACATGGTGAAACCCGTCTCTACTAAAAAAAAATTAGAAAAATCAGCTGGGCATGGTGGCAGGCACTTGTAATCCGAGCTACTTAGGAGGCTAAGGCAGGAGAATCACTTGAACCCAGGAGATGGAGGTTGCAGTGAGCCAAGATTGCCCCATTGCACTCCAGCCTGGATGACAGAAAGAGATTCTTTCTCAAAATAAAATAAAATAAAATAAAATAAAATAAAATAAAACAGAGTCAAAATCAGTCAATAATACCACCAGATAAATGTAGGGTTACATTTTAAAATAAAACTCTGTCTCATGCCTGTTATCCTAGCACTTTGGGAGGCTGAGGCGGGAGGATCACTTGAGCCCAGGATTTTGATACCAGCCTGAGTAATATAGTGAGACTTGTCTCTACAAACATTGAAAGAAAAAAAAATTATCTGGGCATGGTTGGTTCATGCCTGTAATCCCAGCACTTTGGGAGGCTGAGGTGGGTGGATCACGAAGTCAGGAGATCAGACCATCCAGGCCAACATAGTGAAACCCTGTCTCTACTAAAAATACAAAATAAAAAAATTAGCTGGGGGTGGTGGCATGTGCCTGTAATCCCAGCTATTCAAGAGGCGAGGTTAGAGAATGGCTTGACTCTGGGAGGCGAAGTCTGTAGTAAGCCAAGATCACGCTACTGCACTCCAGCCTGGGTGACAGAGACTCCATCTCACAAAAACAAAAAAAGAGAAGAAAAAATTCTACAGATTCTACAGAAGAAAAAATTCTATGACATTTTTAAGAACATTAATTATAAAAAGCCCTCTTTTGACCAGGCGCCGTGGCTCATTGCCTATAATTCCAGGGCTCTGGGAAGCCAAGATGGGAGGATGGTCGCTTGAGGCCAGGAGTTTGAGGCCAGCCTGCTCAACATAGCGAGACCCCATCTCTGTTTTTTTTTTTTTTTAAAAAAAGCCCTCCTTTGTAACACTGATACATCTCTATCATCATCCTAACAAGTTAGTTCAACCTAAATGCCCTTAATTTCTGCTTGGCTTTTAAAAATTATACAATATTGCCTCAAAAAAGCAGCCACTAACAATGTTAAAACAGTTAACTATAGGTACTCGTTTTCACTTTTGCTTCTGTATTTTTCCTTTTCTTTTCTTTTGAAGTGGAATCTTGCTGTGTTGCTCAGGCTGGAGTGCAATGGCACAAACTCAGCTCCCTGCAACCTCCGCCTCCTGGGCTCAAGCAATCCTCCCACCTCAGCCTAAGTAGCTAAGGCTAAAGGCATGTGCCACCATGCCCAGCTAATTTTTAATTTTTTTGTAGAGACAGAATCTTGCCATGCTGCCCAGGCTGGTCTTAAACTCCCGGACTCAAGCAATCCTCCCGCCTTGGCTTCCCAAAGTGCGAGGATTACAGGTGTGTGCCACTATGCCTGGCCAACCCCTTTTTTTTTTTTTCTTCTCTGAGACGGAGTTTTGCTCTTGTTGCCCAGGCTGGAGTGTAATGATGCGATCCTGGCTCAATGCAACCTCTGCCTTCTGGGTTCAAGCAATTCTCCTGCCTCTGCCTCCCTAGTAGCTGGGACTACAGGCACGCACCACCACACCTGGCTAGTTTTGTATTTTTAGTAGAGACAGGGTTTCACCATGTTGGTCAGGCTGGTCTGGAACTCTCTGTCTTAGGTGATCCACTTGCCTCTGCCTCCCAATGTGTTGGGATTACAGGCGTGAGCCACCACATCAGTCTTGTGTATTTTAGTAGAGATGGAGTTTTGCCATGTTGGCCAGGCCAGTCTTGGACGCCTGACCTTAGGAGATCCACTCACCTTGGCTTCCCAAAGTGCTGAGATTATAGATGTGAGCCATTGCGCCTGGACTATTTTTATTTTTAACTATTTATTTTGAGACGGAGTCTTGTTTTGTTGACCAGGGTGCAGTGCAGTGGTGTGATCTCGGCTCACTGCAGCCTCTACCTCCTGGGTTCCAGCGATTCTCCTGCCTCAGCCTCCTGGGTAGCTGGGATACAGGCACGCACCACCACGCCCAGCTGTCTTTTATTTATTTATTTTTTTGAGACGGAGTTTCACTCTTGTTACCCAGGCTGGAGTGCAATGGCGCCATCTCTGCTCACCACAACCTCCGCCTCCTGGGTTCAGGCAATTCTCCTGCCTCAGCCTCCTGAGTAGCTGGGATTACAGGCACGCGCCACCACGCCAGCTAATTTTCTGTATTTTTAGTAGAGATGGGGTTTCACCATGTTGACCAGGATGGTCTTGATCTCTCGACCTCGTGATCCACCCACCTCGGCCTCCCAAAGTGCTGGAATTACAGGTGTGAGCCACGGTTACTTATGGCACTTGAAATGAATATTGTAGAAACAGTATTTAAAAAAAAAGAGTGCTTCCTCATACCTAGCTGAGATGACATATATCATTTATGGGCCATTTTATCTTTTACTATCCGAAAATTTCTTAATTCAGAAACCCATCAGATTCCAAAGGTTTCAGATAAAGGGTTGAACTCATATATGTAATGAGTCAACACGTAAATGGAATTTACTGTTATTTTAGCAGTAAATGGTCTTCAAAAAACAAAAACACGAGGTGAAACATATTACAAATGCTGACCTTTAACAACTGAAGTTTCTATCTCTGAAACAGGTTCTGATTTTTCTTCTCCATTAGATTCATCAACTTCTGCCACTGTTGTTAACTCTGGTTCACTCTTGTAGAGTCTATAATCTGGACCCTTGAAAGGAAGACACGTAATTACACAAAAAAACCTGCTAAAAGTTTCTTTTAAAATATTTCCTGCTAAAGACACAAATCAAACTCTAAAAGTTAGTACCCCTAGTGAGCCATCTGGGATATATACCTATGTCACAACTACATGGAAAGAAGAAATTGGAAAAATTTTTAAATGGCAAAACTTTGTTTTAATAAAGAATATTTTTGGCTGAGTAAGGTAGCTCACAACTGTAATCCCAGCACTTTGGGAGGCCAAGGCGGGTGTATCACCTCAGGCCAGGAGTTTGAGACCAGCTTGGCCAACATGGTGAAACCCTGTCTCTACTAAAAATACAAAAATTAGCTGGGCATGGTGGTGCACGCCTATAATCCCAGCCATTTGGAAGGCTGAGGCAGAAGAATCACTTGAACTCAGGAGGCGGAGCTTGCAATGAGCAGAGGCTGCACCACTGCTCTCCAGTCCAGGCAATAGAGTGAGACCCTGTCTCAAAAAAAAAAAAAAAACCCACAAAAAACAGTATTTCTGTTTCTCTTAGGAACAAAGTCATATTTTTATCATGAAATAATTGAGGGCTAAAAATAATATTAACTCAATAAATTTTCATTCAGAAGGTGGTCTAAGTGAGGCTCATCCCAGCACTAACATTCTTGTCACAGACTTCTTGTTGTTCTCAAATTTGCTCAATTCGTATTTCCTTATTCTCTTTGCTTATTACATCCTACATTATTTGCTTAACCCTAAACATATTTACCATTTTCAAGGGTGACATCTCTCCCTAGCAACATCCTCAGAAATATTCTTTGAATAGCTTTCCTAGACCAAAAGGCCCATATCTCAGCCCCTTTACTGTTTCTACTAACTGTCTTTTTCTTTCTCCCTTCTTTCTGATCTAAGGTATAATTTTGCCCCTAATATCCTGAAATGATATATGGCTCCTTCATCATGGGGAAAGTTACCACTTTATGAAAATATGAAAAATGCTATGAAATTATGAAATATTAAAATTATAAAAATATTAAAAAATGAGAATAGTAAAACCAAAACAGGAAAGACACATGATAAAATTATATATAAACCAAAAACTGCTGGCTAAAAATGAGGTTATAAAGGTTAAAATAAAAAAAAATTTTTGAGTGTAAAATAAATTTTCAAAAATGAGAGGACATGTATAATTAATTATTCTGTGGCTATTCCAGCCACTTACACAGTGAGATCCATTTCTTGGATATCCTTGAACTTGATACATCTTCTTTTCTTCAGGCAGATGAACTGGGCCCCTGCTATAACAGAGCAAGGAGCTGCTATCACTGGGCAGAGGGGGGATTATGGGAGGCTGCTCTGTAAAGTCATAGGACCGAGGAAGTGGAGGACGAGGTGGGACTACTTCCTCTTCCTAAAGATTGTAGAACAGTCACCTTATTTAGATAAGCAGATTGAATTAAGCACATCTAAATTCTTTGCAATGGTATATTAAAACTTAAATTTACTTTAAGATACTAAAAGGGACACTGCCAAGCCAAAAGTCTAATAATGAAAAGTAAAATTGACAATTTTTACCATAGCCAATAATGGGAATTTAACATAAAATTTTATCTAATTTTTTCCTGTAACACATAGGTTAGCTTCACACTGAAGCTCAACACTGAAAGAGACTGCTGTGTAAAACTAATTACTGGGTTTCATTTTGAAACTAGAAGGAAAAAACTGATTTAAAACTTCTACTCATATTTTCAACTTATCTTATTCATGTATTTATTTTGTAGAGATGGGATCTCACTATATTGCGGTGGTTTGATCACACATAGCTCATTACACCCTTGAACTCCTGGGCTCAAGGGATCCTCCTGCCTCAGCTTCCCAAGTAGTTAGGACTATAGGAACACCATGCCTGGCTAATCTTTTAATGTTTTGTAGAGACGGGGGTCATGCTATGGTTAGCAGGCTAGTCTCAAACTCCTGAGCTCAAGCCTGCCTCCTGCCTTGGCCTCCTAAGGTGCTGGGATTATAGGCATGAGCCATTGTACCTGGCCCCATAATTTTTAAGAGAGGAAAAAAAAAGTCATCTCTTTGACTGGCTTTTACACAAAATTCAAAATAATAGATTCTTTTGGTTAGGTTGACAGTATCTCTTTGTAGTTATTTCTTTATGCTATGATGACACACAGTCAAGTTATCTATCAATCACTCTTTAAATTTTACATAATATAAGAAACAATAAGTATTCAAAAATTACTTAGATTAGAAAAAGTACAATGTTAAAGTTCTAACATAGATAAAAAGCAGAGATTCCATTTTTTTTGCATTAAAAAAGAGAAGAAAAATCACATATTAGAAGCACCAAATTACTGACCCAATAAAATTTCAAGATTAAAACAGTACCTATTCAATATATTTAATATTTGTTATCAAGATTAGAGAAGACAATTACTTTTAGTTCATGTCTGAAGAATTAAAAGTAATTTATAGTCAGAAAAACAATCCAAGCTTACCTCATTTTTGTACTTAACTGTTGAGAAAGGCTTTGATCCTATCATACCTAGAAATGTTAGAAAACGTAGCTATATTAAACAAATCTAATACTATTAAAAAAAAGTTTTTTTTTTTTTAATTTTTCTATGAGGACAATGGTTAGATTCTTTTTTTTGAGACAAAGTCTCGCTCTGTTGCCTAAGCTAAAGTATAGTGGTGTGACCTCAGCTCACTGCAACCGCCCCTTCCTGGGTTGACGCACAAGCAATTCTTGTGCGTCAGTCTCCCGTAGCTGGGACTAGAGGTGTGCACCACCATGCTCAGCTAATTTTTGTATTTTTAGTAGAGGTGGGGTTTGACCATGTTGGCCGAGCTGGTCTCAAACTCCTGACCTGAAGTGATCCACCTGCCTCAGCCTCCGAAAGGGCTGGGATTACAGGTATAAGCCACCACATACAGCTAAAAAAAAAAAAAAATCTATTTCTTTCCTATTTTCTGAGATGGAGTTTTGCTCTTGTTGGCCAAGCTGGAGTGCAGTGGCATGATCTCGGCTCACTGCAACCTCCACCTCCTAGGTTCAAGAAATTCTCCTGCCTCAGCTTCCTGAGTAGCTGGGATCTGGGATACAGGCGTGTGCCACCATGCCTGGCTAATTTTTGTATTTTCAGTAGAGATAGGGTTTTACCATGTTGGTCAGGCTGGTCTCAAATTCCTGACCTGATCCACTTGCTTTGGCCTCCCGAAGTGCTGGGATTACAGGTGTGAGCCACCACTCCTGGCCAAAAGAACAATTTCATTTCATGTATTTTTTTCTTTAATTTATTTTTATTTGTTTTGAGACAATGTCTCTCTCTGTTGCCCAGGTTGGAGTGCAGTGGTGCGATCTTGGCTTACTGAAACCTCCGCCTCCCGGGTTCAAGAGATTCTCTTGCCTCAGCCTCCCAAGTAGCTGAGACCATAGGTGTGCACCACCACACATGACCAATTTTTTAATTTTTTTTTTAGTAGAGCTGGAATTTCGTCATGTTAGCCAGGCTTGTCTTGAACTCCTGACCTTTTGATCTGCCTGCCTTGGCCTCCCAAAGTGCTGGGATTACAGGCATGAGCCACCACACCTGGCCCCATCTCACATATTTTAAATGAAGTGTTCCATTTCTAATCATTCACTTATTGTTTTCAGAACTGGAACCCAATTACATTAAAAAAGAAAAGGAATATTTAGTTTAAACAAGAGTATGGGGAATTGGGTTTTCTCAAACATCACTGGTATTAATATAATTTGAAACACCCCTTCAGGAGGGCAATTTGGCTGCAGCTATCAAAGTGGAAAATGTGTGCTTATTTCTTACCTTTCGAAGGTACTAACCTATGTGTTTAGTTACATGTATTAATAATGTTCATTATGGCATGGCCTATGACAGCAAAAATTAAAAACTCTGGAAACAACATACATTATCCATCGATATGGAAATTGATAAATAAATTATAGTTCCCTTATACAATGTATTCTTATGCTGTATTGTTATGGAGAATAAAACAAATTTTTGAAAAATAGTTATAGCAAGATCCCAGTTTTTGTTGTGAGGATAAAACGTCTAAAGCATAAACATTGTGGGTATTTATAATTATACACACAAGACAGTAATTATGTTTCTTTAGGTGTGCTTGACAGAGCTTTTGCTTTTTACTTTATAAACCTGTGCTCCGATTCAATGTTAAAAGAAAAGTCCTGTTCAGAAAAATTCATTAAAATAACAAAAGAAACTCAATTATATGTGTCATTCCATTTAGATATTCAGTCACGTGCCACATACCAACGTTCTGGTCAGCAACAAACTACATATACAATAGTAGTCCCATAAGATTATAATGCAGCTGAGAATTTTCTTTTTAAAATTTTTTTTTGAGACAGAATCTCATTCTGTTGCCCATGCTGGAGTGTCGTGTTATGATCTTGGCTCACTTACAACCTCCACCTTTTGGGTTCAAGATTCTCCTGTCTCAGCTTTCTGAGTAGTTGGGACGATAGACGTGCGCCACCATGCTTGGCTAATTTTTTTTTGTATTTTTAGTAGAGACAGGGTTTCACCATGTTGGACAGGCTGGTCTTGAACTCCTGATCCCAGGTGACCTGCCTGCCTCAGCCTCCCAAAATGCTGCGATTAAAGGCGTGAGCCACTGCACCCAGCAAAAGCCGAGAAATATGTATTGCCTAGTAGTAGCCCTCATGTCATAGTGCAACACATTACCTTTTCTATATCTAGATATACAAATAACATTGTGTTATAACTGTCTGTAGTATTCAGTACATACAGTCACATGCTGGTTTGCAACCTAGAAGCAACAGGCTATACCTAATAACCTAGGTGTATAGTAGGCCATACCATCTAGGTTTGTTTTAGTGCACTGTGATTGTGCAAGACAATGACCTAACAATGCATTTCTCAGAACGTAATCTGTCACTAAGTGACACATGACTGTAATACTGTGGTCAGTCACAAAATAAAATGCAAAGCTAATTTACCTATTTCTGTAGTACTTCTTTGCTGCTTGTGTTTACTCAGTCCTTCCATGACATCTTGAATTCGCCAAAGTTCTTTCTGAATCTGTGCTCGCTGAATTCCTGCTGATTCCGTCTATCAGTAAAAATGGATAGACCATATATAAGAAAAAAGTCATTTACTGAAGTTAAATTATATTAATTATGTAAATTATGTATTTTAAAAATGAGAATTGCAGTGAATTACATGTTACGAATATTTAATGATTGATGTGACTCTCCCAATTTTGCAACTCCAGTGGCAAATATAAAAGACTGAGCATTGGGCGTGGTGGCTCACGCCTGTAATCTTAGCACTCTGGGAGGCCGAGGTGGGTGGATCACCTGAAGTCAGGAGTTCAAGACCAGCCTGGCCACAATTGAGAAACCCCATCTTAAAAAAAAAAAAAAAAGACTGAGTAGAGGAAAAAAAAATACTTAATTTTCATACTTAAGCATAATATTTTAAATCTTTCCAATAAGCTTTGTCTTGCATTATTTATGATCCCAGGAAGGCATATTGATTAAAAGGGACCAAAAATGGAAAATACAAACAGAGAAAATGAAAACAGAATAGAAACAAATGCCAAAATAAAAAACCACTTTTAGGAGGGGGAGATGGGGAAAGGGTAAGAAATGGAAGGTATATTAACTTCCTAAGTTCTAGAATATAAAAACAACAACAAAGGGACAACTAATGAAATATATTCAGATGAGTTTTGACTGACAAGAGTTTAAATTTTTTTTTTTTTTTTAAGATGGAGTCTTGCTCTGTCACCCAGGCTAAAATGCAGTGGCAAGCTTTCAGTTCACTGTAGCTTCTGCCTCCTGGGCACAAGCGATTTTGCTGCCTCAGCCTCCTGAGTAGCTGGGATTACAAGCGCATGCCATAATTTTTGTATTTTTAAGTAGAGATGGGGTTTCGTCATGTTGGCCAGGCTGGTCTCGAACTCCTGACTTCAGGTAATCCACCTACCTCGGCCTCCCAGAGTGCTGGGATTACAGGCATGAGTCACTGTGCCTGGCCACAGTTTAAATGTACTTGTAAGACAAATTTTTAATTTTGGAATTTAAGTTTTTTTTAATGCTATTTTTTATTCCATTTTTTATTCTATTCTAAGTTATATCCACTTTCTTACTTTTAATATTCCATTACATGCCCTCAGGTTAAGTACCCTAACTGAAACCAAAATAAGATTACATTGGTTTTCTCTGAGATTCTGTTAGAACTCTATGACTCTTGTTCATAAATAAGGTAACAATAACACCATTCTGGATAACAATAAACACTATTCTAGGAATGTAACTTCATTTATTTTTTATTTTTTGTGAGACGAAGTCTTGCTTGGTTGCCCAGAGCTGGAATGCAATAGTGCGATCTTGGCTCACTGCAACCTTTGCCTCCCAGGTTCAAGCAATTTTTCTGCCTCAGCTTCCTGAGTAACTGGGATTATAGGCACACACCACCACGTCCTGCTGATTTTTGAATTTTGAGTAAAGACAGGGTTTCACTATGTTGGCCAGGCTGGTCTTGAACTCCCAACGTTGTGATCCACCTGCCTTGACCTCCCAAAGTGCTGGGATTACAGGTGTGAGCTACCATACCCAGTCCACTTTATTTTAATTTATTGATTGAGACAGAGTCTTGCTCTGTCACCAGGCTGGAGTGCAGTGGCATGATCTCAGTTCACCGTAACTTCCACCTCCTGGGTTCAAGCGATTCCCCTACCTCAGCCTATCAAGTAGCTGGGACTGCAGGCACTCACCGCCACGCCCAGCTCATTTTTTGTATTTTAGTAGAGATGGGGTTTCACCATGTTGGCCAGGATGGTCTCGATTTCCTGACTTCATGATCCACCCACTTCAGCCTCCCAAAGTGGTGGGATTATAGGTGTGAGCCACCATATCTGGCCCACTTTAGTTTTTTTTTTTTTTTGAGACGGAGTTTCGCTCTTGTTACCCAGGCTGGAGTGCAATGGTGCGACCTCTGCTCACCGCAACCTCCGCCTCCTGGGTTCAGGCAATTCTCCTGCCTCAGCTGCCTGAGTAGCTGGTATTACAGGCATGCACCACCATGTCCAGCTAATTTTTTGTATTTTTAGTAGAGACGGGGTTTCACCATGTTGACCAGGATGGTCTCGATCTCTTGACCTCGTGATCTACTCGCCTCGGCCTCCCAAAGTGCTGGGATTACAGGCTTGAGCCACCGCGCCCGGCCACTTTAGTTTTAAAAATAGGGAATGGCATACAAAAACTGTCACATCACCTAGAACAATATTTTCTTTCACTGAGTATCAATTATTAATGACTACAGATATTATAATATAATCAGTATTACATCAATATGCTATGAAGTCCTCTAAGGGGTAGAAATATATTTTCAGGCAGGCACAGTGGTTCACACCTATAATCCCAGCACTTTGGAAGGCTGAGGTGGGCAGATTGCTTGAGCTCAGGAGTTCAAGACCAGCCTGGGCAACATAGAAAAACCCCATCTCTACCAAAAATACAAAATCTTAGCTGGGGGAGGTGGTGCATGTCTGTGGTTCCAGCTACTTGGGAGGCTGAGGTGAGAGGATCACTTGATCCTGGCAGAAGAGACTGTAATGAGAAGAGATCCTGCCACTGTACTCCAGCCTGGGTGACAGAGTCAGGGAAGGAAAAAAAAGAAATACGTTTTCAAAGTCTTCCAAGCACTTGGGAGTTGATTAAAAGATTTTTAAAAAAGGAAAAAAAAAAAAAAAAAAACCTCAAGAAAGAAGAGTCTATAAGCCTGAAGACTATGAACTACTGCAGCTCCAAAAAGGCACTGCATAACCTAAGTTATCTAGTTTTCCAAACTACAGCCTGGAAGCATCAAAAAGTAAAAAAGAGAAAGTACTCATGCAAGAGCCAAACACAGTGACAGCCCAGAGCTATAAATACTGACATAGAGGATGGGAAGAGCACTATAAATAACAGATCTTACACATCTATATACAACAGGCATTACTTTTTCATAAAATTTAAAAGATATATATGTATACACACATTTTTGCCAATTTGGAAGGGTATATAATGCAAATCTAATTTTTGTTTTATTTGCATTTCTCTAGTTACTACTGACTTTGAACTATTTTTTTTTTTTCTTTTTTTGAGACCGAGTTTCACTCTGTTACCCAGGCTGGAGTGTAGAGGTGCGACCTTGGCTCACTGCAACCTGTCTCCTAGGTTCAAACAATCCTCCTGCCTCAGCCTCCCAAGTAGCTGGAATTACAGGTGTGTGACACCATACCCAACTATTTTTTTTTTTGTATTTTAGTAGAGATGAGCTTTTGCCATGTTGACCAGGCTGGTCTCAAACTCCTTACCTCAAGTGATTCACCTGACTCGGGCTCCCAAAGTGCTGGGATTACAGGGATAAGCCACTGTGCCTGGCCAACTCTGAACTATTTTTCAAACACTTGATAGTAATTTGAGTTTTCTTATGATTAGTTACTCATATCCTTTGTATATTTTTCTAATGGACTATTTCCTCAAATCAACAAGAAAAACTTCCTTGCAAATCTAGATAGTTATCCCTTGTGACATTTTTGAGGTCAAACATACATTTCCCCAGAAGGTCGCCTTTTTTACTTTGTCTATGTTGCCTTCATTGAGGGTTAGTCTTTGACTGACAAAGCCAGATGTTGTTCAACAATTCCCTCTCTCTCTTTCTCTCTCTGCTTTGTGGATATTCACGGTCTGTTGCTAAACTATTCTGTTCCATTGGTCTATTTTTTTCCTGTACTATGTTTAACACTATAGTTTTACGTTATGTGTCCTTGTTTATTTATTTAACAAACATATAGCATATTTTATGTGCGTGATTTTATTCTATACGTAAAAATATAAACATATTTATCCTCATAATAACCTAGTAGGAGTCAGTATTATTATTTTATTTTATAGTTGTAGAAACTGAAACCCAGAGTTGTGATGTAATTGGTCTAAGCCTGTAGCTGATTACTGACAGTATAATTTTAGTGTCCAATACAGAAGTCCCAGCCACATGTGGCCATTTAAACTGGCCGGGCATGGTGGCTCACACCTATAATCCTGGCATTTTGGGAGGCTAAAGTGGGTGAATCACCTGAGCTTGGGAGTTTGAGACCATCATAGCTAACACAGTGAAACCCTGTCTCTACTAAAGATACAAAATCAGCTGGCTGTGGTGGTAGGTGCCTGTAATCCCAGCTCCTTGGGAGGCTGAGGCAGGAGAATTGCTTGAACCCGGGAGGCGGAGGCTGCAGTGAGCCAAGATGGCACCACTGCACTACAGCCTGGGTGACGGAGTGAGACTCTGTCTCAACAACAACAACCACCACCACCACCACCACCACCACCACCACCACCACCACCACCACCAAACTGGACTTGGTGACGCATGCCTGTAATCCCAGCACTTTTTTTTTTTTTTTGAGTTTCCCTTTGTCACCCAGGCTGGCATACAGTTGCATGATTCTCCTGCCTTAGCCTTCCAAGTAGCTGGGACCACAGGTGCGTACCACCACACCCAGCTAACTTTTATATTTTCAGTAGAGGTGGGGTTTCACCATGTTGGCCAGGCTGGTCTCAAACTTTTGGCATCAAGTGATCCTCCCACCTTGGCCTCCCAAAGTGCTAGGATTATAGGCGTGACCCATTGTGTCCAGCCAATCCCAGCACTTTGGAAGGCTGAGGTAGGAGGATCACTTGGGCCCAGGGGTTCAAGGTTTCAGTTAGGATCATACTGCTGCACTCCAGCCTGGGTGACAGAATAAAACACTGATTCAATAAATAAACAAATAAATAAATTTAGATATTTAACACAAATACAACTAAAAGTTCAGTTTTAGTTGTATAGTCACAATAGTCACATTTCACATACCCAACAACTACATGTGGCCAGAACTACACTGGACAGCACAGATAGAGGGCAGCTGATTTTTCTGACTCAACCTTACTAATCTTTTTTTTTTTCTTTTGAGATGGAGCTATACCCTTGTTGCTCTGGCTGGAGTACAATGGTATCATCTTGGCTCCCTGTAACCTCCACCTACCAGGTTCAAGTGATTTACCCGCCTCAGCCTCCCGGGTAGCTGGGATAACAATAGGTGTGTGCCACCACATCCAGCAAATTTTGTATTTTTTAGTAGAGATGGGGTTTTACCATGTTGGTCAGGCTGGTCTCAAATTTACTAATCTTTTATTCATTGTATTGATTTGTCTGTTAAGTCTATGCATTTCCAACTAAAATGATCAAATTTACATTGGGTCATAAGCATAATTTAACTTATTTTCTTAAACATATATCATATCCATTCCTCAGAGCAACATTTTAAGACAAGTATTATTTCTGCTTTTTTTTTTTTTTCTTGAGACAGCGTCACTCTGTCATCCAGGCTCGAGTGCAGTAGTGTGATCTTACCTCAGTGCAACCTCCACCTCCTGCGTTTAAGTGATTTTCCCACCTCACCCTCCCAAGTAGCTGGGATTACAGACAGATGCCTGCCACTACACCTGGCTAATTTTTATATTTATAGTAGAGACAGGGTTTTGCCATGTTGGCCAGGCTGGTCTCGAGCTCCTGACCTTAGGTGATCCACCCACTTCAGCCTTGAAAGTGCTGGGACTACAGGTGTGAGCCACTGCACCCGGCCAAGTATTATTACTTCTAATTTATAGATAAGAAAACTCACCCTTGGAACTAGGTCTCAGATCTGCTTGCTTATAAACCAGAGTCTTTATAGCACATTGTGTTGTATTTTCCCCTTTTCTAATAATATGTCAGTTATGACAACAGGCCAAATATAATTTTTAACACAGAATGGATTAGAGTAATTTTATTGCAAAGATAAAATATCCATTATTTGATAAATCCGTAATTCAACATCTCAATACCAAGTGACACAGATAGACTTGTGAAAGGATATGAAGCCATGTTTTTAGGAACTAGAGTTGAGACCGCTAGGAGCAGAGAACACTCCAGGGCTCACCATGTGCCCAACAGAACAAAGTACTCTTAAACAAGAGGGGATGGGATAGTTTGTAAGATGATAAGATTCCTGTCATTAAAAGTATTCAAATCCAGGTCTCAGGTAGCCAGTAATGTAAAAACTGTTAAGGGTATGCATAAATCTAACAAGGTAGATTACACAGTACCAGTAAAAACCAGTTAAAATAACACAAAGAATATTATACTTTTGTACCTGAACTTCACCAAGGTGATCTAGCTGCTCTTGCATCTGGTTCCTGGTAACAGTCACGTCGTATTCTAACTTATCATATTCCCTCCATGCTCGTTCCAATTCCTAAAACCAAAAAGTGTTAATTACTTTAATGGGGAAAATGTGCTTTTATTGGTGTTATCACTCCAATTGTAATTGTCTAGATTTTAGAAAGTTGTGTAGTTTATATTGAGCGAAATAGAACTTTTCATAACCCATTTTTGTCCCTTTTTTTTTACTCAATTCAATAAAAATTTACTAAGCAACATAAGTATTATTGTGCTGCTGTTTATTTCCTAAAGTGCAGAAGAGGCATAAATAAAGCATATTCTTAACTGTCTTGATTAAAAGTTCTCCATGAATAAAAATACTTTGTATTTTAGCATACTGGAATTTCAATAACATCAGAAGCATGACATGATGTTACTTACAATAAGCTTACAGTAGTAATATAATAAAATGAATTTAGCTAGCTATTTAAATAATTCAGTGAATCCTGTTTGTGAAGACTCAATATAGACACTATCAACCATCTGGATTTTCTTCCATTGGAAAAAAAACATCCCCAAACGGTATCACAGAAGATTTTGATATTTGGTCTTTAACAGCTTCTCATTTGTTGAATATAGAATAATTCTAGAGGTGCTTAAAAATACACCATCTGGGCCGGGCGCGGTGGCTCAAGCCTGTAATCCCAGCACTTTGGGAGGCCGAGGCGGGTGGATCACGAGGTCAAGAGATCGAGACCATCCCGGTCAACATAGTGAAACCCCGTCTCTACTAAAAATACAAAAAATTAGCTGGGCATGGTGGCACGTGCCTGTAATCCCAGCTACTCAGGAGGCTGAGGCAGGATAATTGCCTGAACCCAGGAGGCGGAGGTTGCAATGAGCCGAGATCGAGCCATTGCACTCCAGCCTGGGTAACAAAAGCGAAACTCCATCTCAAACAAACAAACAAACAAACAAACAAAAAAACACCATCTGCCACGCACTGTGGCTCACGTCTGCAATCTCAGCACTTTTGGAAGGCTTACAGGGGCAGATCACTTGAGCTCAGTAGTTTGAGACCAACCCTGACCAACATGGTAAAACCCTGTCTCTATTGAAAACACAAACATTAGCTGGGCCTGATGGCTTTCATCTGTGGTCCCAGGTACTCAGAAGGCTGAGGAGGAAGAATCCATTGAACCCAAGAGGCAAAGGTTGCAGTGAGCCAAGATCGTGCCACTGCACTCCTGGGTGACAGAGCAAGACCCCTATCTCAAAAAGACCCTCAAACCCCCCAAACATCATCGTATCATCTTGTTTCAGAGATGTTGACTTATGGGAGTGTAGTTACTCTTTATGTGTTTCAGAGAGTGTAAAAACTGATAAACTAAGGACAAAGTCCATATTGTTCACTATTTTATTATTAAAATCTAGTGTGGTAATGGCCAGGTACGGTGGCTCAAGCCTGTAATCCCAGCACTTTGGGAGGCCGAGGCGGGTGGATCACGAGGTCGAGAGATCGAGACCATTCTGGTCAACATGGTGAAACCCCGTCTCTACTAAAAATACAAAAAATTAGCTGGGCATGGTGGCGCGTGCCTGTAATCCCAGCTACTCCGGAGGCTGAGGCAGGAGAATTGCCTGAACCCAGGAGGCGGAGGTTGCGGTGAGCCGAGATCGCGCCATTGCACTCCAGCCTGGGTAACCAGAGCAAAACTCCGTCTAAAAAAAAAAAAAAAAAAAAAAAATCTAGTGTGGTATTGGCAAATATAAGTCAACCAAAAAATACTTATTGAAAACTCTTGTTAGGCCGGGCATGATGGCCCACACCTGTAATCCCAACACTTTGGGAGGTCAAGGTGGGTGGATCACTTGAGGTCAGGAGTTCAAGACCAGCCCGACCAACATGGTGAAACCCCATCTCTGCTAAAAATACAAAAAATTAGCTGGCTGTGGTGGCGCGTGGCTGTAGGCCCAGTGACTCAGGAGGCTAAGGCAGGAGAATTGCTTGAACCTGGGCAGCAGAGGTTGCAGTGAGCTGCAACTCTATGCCATTGCACTCCAGCCTGGGCGACAAAGCAAGATTCCGTCTCACAAAAAAATAAAAATAAAAAAATTTTTTAAAAAACTCTTGTCAAATGAATTAATAATTTCTGTCTAAGAAACTCTCATGATCAGAAATTTCTTTTCTTGAACTGCTCGGAGTAAAGTTCTACTGGGAAATGTCAGTGTATCAACAGTAAGAGTCTTGGGATAAGAAAGCAGTGTACTGAATGTTAAAGAAAGGTTACTTAAAATAATCTTAACAGGTTTTTGAAAAGCAGCAATACAGTTTACCTCAAACTAAAGGTTCCCTTTTATTTATATATTTATTTGTTTATTTGAGACAGTCTTGCTTTGTTGCCCAGACTAGAGTCCAATGGCATGATCTAACTCACTGCAACCTCCCCCTCCCGGGTTCAAGAGATTCTCCTGCCTCAGCCTCCTAAGTAGCTGGGACTGCAGGCATGTGCCACCATGTCCAGTTAATTTTTATATTTTCAGTAGAGATGGGGTTTTGCCATTTTGTCCAGGCTGGTCTCAAACTCCTGACCTCAAGCGATCTGTCCTTCTTGGCCTCCCAAAATGGTAAGATTACAGGCGTGAGCCACCATGCCCACCCTAAAGGTTCTCTTTTAAAGAGCTATCTTAGTTTGTATATTCTGCTGTAACTAGCTTAAAATAACTTTAAAAAACTTAGGTGATTGGCTGGCTCATGCCTGTAATTCCAGCACTTTGGGAGGCTGAGACAGGAGTTCGAGACAAGCCAGGAAAACACAGAGACCCCATCTCTACAAAGTATATAGAAATCAGCCAGGTGTGGTGGCACATAACTGCAGTCCCAGGTACTTGGGAGGCTGAGAAGGGAGGATCACTTGAACCAGGAGGTGGAGGTTGCAGGGAGCAGAGATGGTGCCATTGCACTCCAGCCTGGGTGACAAAGACTTCATCTCCAAAAAAAAGTTCAAAAACAGGCAAAACTCATCTATAGTTTAAATGTCAGGTGCTAGGCTACAGCTACTCAGGAGACTAGGTAGGGGGAGGGTAACCTAAGGCTAAGAGTTGGAGGCTGTAGTGCGCTACAACCGCATCTGTGAATAGCCATTGCACTCCCATCTGGGCAACAGAACAACACTCTGTCTCTAAAACAATTAAAAAAATTTTTTTTAAGAAAAAAAAGGAAGAGAGGCCAGGCATGGTGGCTCATGCCTGTAATCCAAGCACTTTGGAGGCCAAGGCGGGTGGATCATCTGAGGTCAGGAGTTCAAGACGAGCCTGACCAACATGGTGAAACCCCATCTTTAAAAAAAAGGAAGAAAAGGAAAAAGTCTAGTAGTGTTCTTTTTGGGAGGGAAGCCTCTAGCATGCTAGTAAAACTCAATGTCTTGATATAGATGTTGGCCAAACTCCTAAACTGTGTGCTTTTCTGAGAATATGTTATACTCCAATAAAAGAAAAAAAAAAAAAGTATGCGTGTTGGGGAGGAGGAGGGACTGCTTCAGAGTTTTCTCTCTTTTTTGTGGGGGATGTAGTCTCACCCTGTCGCCCAGGCTGGAGGGAAATGGTGCAATCTTGGCTCACTGCAACCTCCGCCTCCTGGGTTCAAGCAATTCTCCTGCCTCAGCCTCCAGAGTAGCTAGAATTACAGGTGTGCATCAACATGCCTGGCTAATTTTTTGTATTTTTAGTAGAGATGGGGTTTCTCTATGTTGGTCAGGCTGATCTCGAACTCCCGACCTCAGGTGAGCTGCCCACCTTGGTCTCCCTAAGTAGTGGGATTATGGGAGTGAGCCACCGTGCCCAGTCACTGTAGAGTTTTCTAGAGGCAGGGTTTTGCTCTGATGCCCAGGCTAGAGTGCAGTAGCACAATCATAATTCACTGCAGCCTCGACCTCCTAGGCCAAGCGATCCTCCTGTCTTAGTCTCTCAAGTAGCTAAGATTACAGGTTTGTACCACCACGCCCAGATAATTTTTAAATTTGGGGTCTTAATATGTTGCTCAGGCTGGTCTTGAACTCCTGGGTTCAAGCAATCTTCCGAAAGAACTGGGATTACAGGTGTGAGCCACTGTGCCAGGCCAGACTTTTTTCTCACTGTTACCTGGGCTGGAGTACAGTGGTGTGATTTTGGCTCACTGCAGCCTCAACTCCCTAGGCTCAAGCAATCCCCCCACCTTGTCCTCCTAAGTAGTACAGGTGCCAACCATCATGCTGGGGTATTGTTTTTTAATTTTTTCTTTCTTTTCTTTTTTTTTTTTGAGACAGAGTTTCGCTCTCGTTACCCAGGCTGGAGTGCAATGGCGCGATCTCGGCTCACCGCAACCTCCGCCTCCCGGGTTCAGGCAATTCTCCTGCCTCAGCCTCCCGAGTAGCTGGGATTACAGGCATGCGCCACCATGCCCAGCTAATTTTTTGTATTTTTAGTAGAGACGGGGTTTCACCATGTTGACCAGGATGGTCTCGATCTCTCGACCTCGTGATCCACCCGCCTCAGCCTCCCAAAGTGCTGGGATTACAGGCGTGAGCCACCGCGCCCGGCCTGTTTAATTTTTTCTAAAGTCAAGATCTCACTATGTTGTCCAGGTTGGTCTTGAACTCCTGGGCTAAAGTAATCCTCCTGCCTTAGCCTCCCAAAGTGCTGGGATTACAGGTAGGAGCGAGCATGCCTGGTCAAGATTTTTCATTTTTTAATTGTCTAAGTTTAGGGTATGGAACAAGTAAATTTTAATAGTGCTTACTTCTATATAGTCTGTACTGAGAAAAGATATGGCCACTGTGGGGGAGAAAGTGAAACAGGTCTAAACACTCAGATGTAATGAAATTCTAGACTTCCAAAAAAATTAATGAGGATTTTAATATTTAGCTATTCAGCTACATAGCAGATATATACTATGATATTTATTAAGGAAGGATTGGCTGGGTGCAATGGCTCATGCCTGTAATCTTAGCACTTTGGGAGGCCGAGGTGGGTGGATCACCTGAGGTCAAGAGCTGGAGACCAGCTTGGCCAATGTGGTGAAACCTCCTTTCTACTAAAAAATTACAAAAATTAGCC